TTGAGTAATGCCATCCCAAACTCCCATTCCCCACATACAAAGCCTGAGGGATGAGTCCTCCTCTCACTTTAAGAGGTGATTTTCACTTTGTGTATTGTACTGAAGCAATCTATACAATATTTAACAACTTCCTGGTATAACATTTTCTTAAATAAAGCTCCCAATGATAGGAGATGTAGTAAGATTCCATAGATGCTGGAAATGAGAGATCTACAGACATCAGGAAAGACTGCAGACATTAGGAAAAATAAGAGCTCTCAACTTCATTGGTGTTCATGTCTTTTCAGGTAAGTTAATATTTTGCTTAATATTTCTAAGAAAAGTAAACGGTGAACTTTCAGCCATGGATCTTGACTTTTCTCCAATTTTAAAATCAGTGCCACTTCAAGTTCACAAGCATTTGCCTTTAACAGACATATAAATATATCTCAATCCCCATCCTACTCACAGGGCTTAAAATTCAAAATAACCTTTAACAGAGCTATGGGACAGGGCTTGAATCAGGAAACATTGAGTGCCTTTGAATTTAACCACATGATAGATTTAGATGTGGCAATATTCTCTTTTGTCTATCAGCCCCAAAAACACCGAGGGGTTTCTAGCTGTCTCTCAGCCCTGTAAGAGAGGTGCGAAGTAAAAAAGGTAAAAGGCTGAGCTGTGTGCACTGATGGGGAGGTCAAAAAAGAAACAGGAAACCTGATGGGGGCTTACAAGTGAAGATACGACGGAGAAGCAGCTGGAGACAGTTACATTTCTTAGAAAACCAGTCCTGTTTTCTTTCAGGTCTCAGCCACAGCTTACCAGCTGAACACCCATGATGGTCCTGACTGCTTTCCAGCCAACCTTTCAGCAGCTCTTTGCTTCTTTTCAGGGCAAAGACTTTGAGCCTCAACAAAGGTACAAGTGAACTGGACTTCCATAACATCAACAGAACAAGGAATTCATAATAGGTGAGGCTCTGGCTTCCTATTCCACCACTGAAATAGAACAAGAGCTGCAGATTTGAAAAATACCACTTATTAGTGGTACTGAAATAGCTAGAAAGACTGGAACTGTTTAAAACTGGTGTCTCAGAAATGCAATTTTATGTATTCCAGGCATTCTTATGGTATTATGTTTGCACCAAATAATGATTCTACATATAACTGAGAAAACTTTGCTAAGATCTGTATGGGCCTCCCTCAACAGAAGGACATAAACTGAAAGAAATACGATCAGAAAACAGTGAAACTTCCTCAGAAAACTGAGCACGCACACACACAAAAAGCACATTAAAAACAGTAGTTCTAGGGCACAGGAAAAACTGCTGCCTGACATGAAGAAGAAATCCCTCAGCTATTCTCTGAGCAGAACGGGTCAAATGCAGTTTTCAATTTTGAAGCACATTTTGCTGGAGAAGAGCACTGTCTGTCCCTGGTTATTACTGGCTGTCCATACATTCGTATCCTTCCTCCGTACTCCACTAACCTAGAAAATAATGATCCCTAGTACACAAGACATCCAACAACCTGCCTAGGCCTCTAGGCATTACACAGCACCTCTTAGAGAGCCGTGATGATCAGGAGAGCAGTCATGGCACAGAGTGCAGGATGTGAACAATCATACCAAGCAACCAAAGCTGTGAGAAGGGATCAGGAATCAGGGCCTATTAAGTAGACCATGTTTGGAGAAGTCTGAATGTCAGTAAAAAGAGCTGAGGAGAAAAGTGTTTCTTCAACAAAGAAATTAGTGTCAGAATGTGTATGTCTACTAAGGATCAGAGGGTAATGATGAGAAATGGTTTGTCTGGAAAGCAAGCAAGTCAGAACAGAAGAGCAAAAAGCCACGTGGTCAATGAAATAGAAAACCACAGCAGTAATTACAAGGCTATTTCTCTCTCCAGTATACTGTGATAATATAAAACAATCTGCAGCATAGTAGTTTCTTTATCTAGGATAAATTGCATCTTTTTTGCTTTTTTCAATATTTTCTTAAATATATTCATCTACATTCCATTGAAGAACTATTTACAAGTTACTTTTTATACCTAAAATAGCAGTGATGTCTTTAGCGCAATTTCGACCAGTCCCCAATTATATTGTGAACAGCTGAACAATCCAGGAAAAAAATGACCTATGTCTAATCTAACTTTTCAGAGAGCTGCTAATGGTGGCACTGTGGCTATAAAATGGTAACATAGCACATTTGGTTCATTATTTAATTAAAGGCCAGAAATACAGACTTCTAAAATGTTTTCATGTGGGCAGGATGGGTGAGATAGGAGCTAACACAGGCATTTAATGTGTGCTCTGAAGGAAGACTAGCTGGAGGAGTTTGGTGAGTGTTGTAGCTGACAGTGCAGCCCTGTTCTCACAGTTCTTGCTTACGTGACCAGTTTGGATGACCTCTGCCAGCCTTTTGCTGATTTAGGTGAAACAAACGTTGGCAATACAGAACACCATAAGGAAGGCTGTGTAAAGAGCAAGGGAGTAAGAAAGGAAAGAAGTCTGAGGAAGAAACTAGGAGAAGGCAATTAAGATCATTAATTAATTTTTCTCTAAACAGCAGTTTCTCTCTAAGAGATCCAGGTCCTTTTTTTCTTATGATTATGGGAGAGCATTAATGATTTACTATGTATACACCAAGCTTTATAAATCCTAGGCTCCATTAGATTTGTATGGGTTAACAAGATGAGTCGAGATAATATGCATCCTAGAGATTTACCTCTGCCCCAAATTAAATCAGCCACAGTTTGCTAAGAGAATAGGAAAGTCTTGAACCTTAGTCTTACATATACCAGTGTTGACAATTTTCCTTAAGTTAGGATGTAATTATTAGCATTTCAGTATTACCTCAGACTATCTACTCCCTATCATGCTACAGACAACAGAGCAGTAGCCAAGCCAAGATCAACCAAGAAAATGAAATGTTGCTTTACTTTTAGAATCAGAAAGAGTATTATGCAAAATATCGGGTTTACTCTAGTAAATAAATCAACATCAGAAAGAACATCTGCATCATCCTCTGTCCCTAATCCTCTCATAGCAAAACCATCAGTGCTGGCTTTTTTGATTCTTAAAAAGCAAAACTGAAAATCCAGTCTTCATAATCTTCAGTTGAGCCAGTTGGTAGACTGCAAATGCAAAGAATGAGATGTCTTACTATTGCCTGTAATCTAAATCTGAAGAGACTAAGCCCAGAGAGTTACATTAAAGTTAAGAAACAAACTGTCCATCAGGAAAGCAGATGGCAAAATAAACAATAATGAAGGAAAAAAAAAAAAAAAAGCACTAAAGCTCTTGCTGGCACTTAATAGTAAAATGGGTAGGATAAATCTCACCACTGTAGAGAATGTTAACAGACTGTTTGCAGCAAAATGAAATAGAATTATTTGAATCAACATTTATGCTCTCATAAATCTGATCCACACATCAATACTATTAGCATTTTGCCCTGGGGCTTCATTCAGTCTTAGCTTGAGATGCTGAGTTTCTTTCACTAGGATAAAGCATATGATGGAGCCTGGCGTTCCTCACACAAGCTGGTTTCTACAGGGAATCCTGCTTACTTGTAGACGGGGACTCACACAGCACAGCAGTCTTTCATGCACAGCTTCCATCCTATTTCTACCAAAAGTCTGTTTACAGGGCTCTCCCTGGGAGTCAGCACTGCTGAGGCCATCCAGGATTTCACTACAGCACCTTCATTATCTTTTTTGGGGGAACAATTTTCTTTCTGTCCTAATTACGGAATCATCAATCAACGCTTTGGCCTTTCTGTTTCCTGTGCCAAATCCCAGGAAAATCTTCCATGCTACATTTTGCTATTCAAATCCCACATATCAGGTACTGCTTTTTGTTGTTCGGCCTACTACATCATTTAAAAAAATCTGAATGACTACTTTAATGTATTCAAAATACGGTTGCTATATTGACCTACTACACAGCAATGATGTGTATGTGTGTGTACCTTTCCTAATGATATACAGCACACATTAAAGAAAATGCTGTTTTCAGCATATACCAAGTCAGAGCCAGAAACTGATTCAGATCAGGCTCTGGTTACTCAGGTCTCCATTTGCACACCCAACTCGCAGGTGCCTGTGGCTATCTTGACTCCTGTGATGTAGATTCACATTCCTGGGAGCTGGTGTTACTGCAGAGCGTGAACCATCTCTGTCCCTGGAGCATAGCATGAGAGAATGAATGAAAAGGCAAAGGAGTCTGCTGTTTGCTTTTTCCTGATAGTTTTCAGTCAGTTGATCACCTTCCACGTGTTTACAATCACCATGTGCAATACCAGAAGACCTGCTGTTTCCAGTATTAAGGGGCAGAAAAACCTCATTGCAGTGTCCACTGTTTATATATCTCTCCAACTAAAGTTTATGTTTGTTTGTTTTCTAGTTTTAAATTGCACTTAAAAAAACCAACAACAACAACAACAACAACAAAAACCAACAACAGTAGTTGAAATAGAAAAGCCTTCTCTAGATAGCTGTTCAGAAAGTCTGTTTCAGAACAAGATCGAACTCTGCTCTCCTGCATCCATCTCTAAGAACTTGTTGCCACAAAGGTAATTGCAAAAACAGGTTTCACCAGCTGACCTGATCCAAGAAGACAGATACATCAATACTTCTTCAGCCTCTGACCTTTCTCCAAATAACTCTAGTGTCCCTTACTAGAATTGCAGTGACCTCTAGGGGCCTGATCCAACACCACTTGTTTCATTGACCCTTACTGACTTCAGTTTACTCCAGACTTTCAAAAAGTTTTCTAAGTCTGGATGAGTATTTAATGTACAGCTGAAAAATCCAGTGTGTCTGATGAGAAACAAAATGATCTAAAGCCTCGTTCAATGCTGCCAATGCCTGCACAGAAAATGAACAACCTCAGGATAAGGAACCCCTGGTGTTACTTTGACTGACACGTCCATTTACCTGAAATCCAGATCTGATTTATTGCATTTCTGAACTATATGTAAAATGACAGCAGCTTTTAATGCTGAACCAGAGCAAAAAGCTTCTACTTTTTACCCATTTCAGTACAAAAAGAACCACTTCCACTTACCCAAGAGTACTGCAGATCCATATCAGTTAGGGAATTTGTAAGATGTGGCTGATGAGAAGCGCAAGTACATTTTTCCCATTCTTCTATTTTTGAAATCAAGAAATCACAAGGACAGAGCTGGTTATCAGGAAATGGCTTCCAGTCACTCCACAAATGAAATTCAGTTTCTGAATGGATTGAAATCATTCCTAAGTTACTAAATTTGGAAGTATACGATCGGCCCAAAGATGCAGAAATAAACTCTGCCCTAGTCTCAGTCTCTTCTTTTCTCCTCACATTGTCTTTCCAGGCTTTCTTTTCCTGAGGTTTTGCCAGTTTCATGCAGGAAGTTAGTGCCTCTTCATCCTCTTCTGAAAGATAAGTATCTTCTAATGTATCTTTAAAAATACAAATACTTCTGTTAAGATATATTGCAAGACATACAGAAAATAGCATAATACTTTTCTTAAATATTGTCTTTTGCGTTCTATGTAATGAAACAGCCGAAGACTCCATTAAAAAAAAATAAAATAATAATTACAAAGACAGAAAGACATCTGAGCCAACACCAAGATTTATTCTCCTCTTGGCTTATTTGTGTTCCCTCAAAATCCTGGAAATTTTTACTGTTTTTGAAATGAATACGAAAATTTACTAAGTTAATGTCATATTACTGCAATAGTTGCAGAGAGTATATGCTTAGTTTAAATATTGAAAAAGTTCAGAGGGTTTTTCTAGACAATTACTCTCCTACTCCTTTCTGTTATGTATGTTTGAATTAGAAAGTAGTTGCTGAAATCTATCCCACATCTAAATTTCTTCACAATTATTTGATTGGAGTAGTAATTAATTAGATCGCTAAAAGTCACTTGCTGGTATTTGTTTAAAAGATATCATCTATACCAAATGCATGCATGGTTAAATAAATGTTGGCAAAATAAATTCAGATAAAGAACTGCTGCACAGTCAGATCAGTAGGAGGAGACCCAACATCATACCTTAGGCATTGTATCTTAGGCAATCAGGTATGATGAGAGACTGAATGGTGGAACAAACTTTCTTGCGCTCCCAGCTGCTACTGACTCGTGGATGAACACTGACTGTTAACTTTGCTTTTGTAAGCTTTGCCTTCCTGATATGAAATGAGATACAAAACCACTAACTCCTTTTGGAGACACTGTCCCTAGCACGGAGGCCCCACTGTTTAGCTGAAATTCCTACTTGCAAGATATACTGTTACAAAACTCAAGCCAGTGTGACAGGAAACAGGTTTTCACACTATGATGATGTCACCACATAGTGCTATCACAGTAACATCTCAGCTGGGATTTGAAAATCGTGGGTGGTGAATGACAGATCAGGAGAGGATTGTTTATAGTCATGTTCAATACAGTGACATTTGGCCCATATTGGAAAGAATGCTGCTCTGATGTCTTACTTACTAAGGGGGATCAAAACATGTTTGACATCCTCCAAGCTTTGTGCATTGGGTTTTTTGGTTCGGACCAATTTCTGCAATCGTTTTAATGTTCCCATGGACTCTGCTTTATCATTTGGTTCTGCACCCTGCCAAAAAAAAACAAAGATACAAAAGTAACTATTAAAAATTCATAGAAAAAAAGTACCAATTACCTCAGCCTTTCTTCATAAAAGAGGTGCTCCAGCCTTTTGATCATCTTTGTGGCCCTCCTCTGGACCTGTTCCAACAACTTCACATCTTTCTTGTGCTGGGAGATACAGGCCTGGAGGCAGTACTCCAGATTTTGTCTTAGAAGAACAACATATAAGGGGCAATAACCTCCTTCTGTCTGCTGGCCACCCCTCTTTTGAAGGAACCCAGGATTCCACTGGCCTTCCAGGCTGCAGTAGCACACTGCTGGCTCATGCCCAGCCTTTTGTCCACCAGAACCTCCATAACCTTCTCTACAGAGCTGCTCTCAATGAGTTCTTCTCCCAGTTTGTATACATATCTGGGATTTCCCTGATCCAAGGACAGCACCTTGCACTTGGCCTTTTGAAACATCATTAGGTTCTTGTTGGCCCACATTTCAAGCCTGTCTAGGTCCCTCTGGATGCTGTCCCTTTTTTCTGTTGTATCTCAGCTTATAGTTGCTGAGCACGCACCCAATTCCACTCTCTGGATCACTGATAAAGATGTTAAAGAACACCTATCCCAAGATGGACTCCTGTCGTACACACTTGTGACCAGCCTCCACCTGGACATAGAGCCATCGACTGTAACCCGCTGGCTGCAATAATCCAACAGTCTAGAAATACTCAAGTTCTCTTCCAATCTGACTGTGAACTTCTCTTTAAGAGAGACATGTCATACAGTAAATAACTTATCTTCCATAGCCATGTGCTGTGTTTCACATAGGATATCTGATTTTCATTAGAAACAAGGAAAAGTAAATGTACTAGAAGTGCGTAAAAACAGTTCAGCAATGACTATAATGGCTGCCGTGTATATTCATCTATTTACATCAGTAATTAATTTGGCCTTTTTAAATAATATATCTTTACTGATATTATGAGTGATTAAGTGCTAGTGCTGATGTCACCAGAAGGTAGGAATGCAGAAACCTTTATTGCACTCTCCCCAACAATTAGGTCACACACATTAGCTCCTTTCTGCTTCTCATAATCTTTTGAGACAAAGTCATCAGGGAGGCTTGCCAGTACAGTCTAATGTAGATTAGGTAGGCTACTTAGGGGTGGATCTTGAGAGATTCTGAACTTCACAAGCCTGTCCAGGTCCTCTGGACTCTATCCCTTCTTTCTGTCATATCTCAGCTTATCGTCACCAGCAAACTTGTGAGGGTACACCCAGTCCCTGAGCATCAGGTCCTCAGAATGGACTGTTCTGCTGGTCTGATACCTATATTTCCCACTGCTAGATAACAGACAAAAATTGGTTCCTTCAATTTTTTGCCAATTGAAGAATTAATTATTTCACAGACCAATAAGATCTAGTGTCTTTGAGTTTCAAACCATCTCTGTCTTCTTAAGGATCTTGTAGGATAAGGACCAAGCAGATCCACCTTAAAGCTTTTGTCGGCTTACAGTCCTTTTACAGCTTATATCTGAATATTCATCATCAACTGTGGGCCAAATGCAAACATCCTTAGATTAGTCATGACTTGTTTAAAGCCTCCTCTTCCATCCTCCAAATTCAGGAGAGCAGGATTTCAGTTTTAGTTTATCTAAAGATAGAAATGGAGGTGTAATTTTTCAGTCTCCTATTGTGAGATGTCTTTGCAAAATTAATCACAATGGGTTTAAAATGCTAATATGGCTCAGTTAGATAAGAACTCTCATAGAAATAATTATTTGTTCACTTGTAAGTAATGATACAAAAGCAACACAATGACTTATGATCTAGGATTTCCATCACGGAGACATGAAGATAAACAAACGATAATCTGTTCAGATAATTTTATTAATGGCAAACTCTAATCCTCTTTACTTTAAGAGCATTCACTGTTAGCTAGTCTTATGTACTGAAATACAGCAACTCCCCTTTTTACAGAGAAAATATAATCTCATACAGAATCACTGATGGGACAATTTTTAAATTTAAAACAGTTTATTTTGCTTTGCGTAAGTATCAAAATCCAGAATTTTAGCTGCCTACTCATATGGTAAATGAAGTAAAACACCATTTTCTGTAGATAGGTGTACTGATTGTCCTTGTTCTCATTGTTTTGGTATGTTGTCTTGACCAACCTCAGTCAGACTTTTTGAAAACATGCATAAAAGTGAGAAAAACTTAAATTTTATTCTGTGATTTCAAGCAATTTTCTTCTCTGTTTGTGTTATCTGGAAGCTAGCATCTTTGGTTGCTACTGTACAGAATATGACAGAAGGAAGATTTTTACTGACCGGACAAGTAATTTGTTTTACTAATTTGGAGTATGCTACTTTCTAGTACCTTCTTTCTCTATAGAAAGAGAATGATATTTAGCAGTAATGGGGGGATAGTGAAACCTAGTTCGCAGAGCAGTAAGACTGTACTTGCAAAAACTGTGAATTTCAAACACATTTAAAGAACTTTTAACTTTCTTTTTCCTTCAAGTTTTAGGGTCAGAATAGGGTACCTGCTTTAGCAGGGGGTTGATTCAATAATTTCTTAAGGTCCCTTTCAATCCCTGCAATTCTGTGATTCTGTGATTACAACACAATTTGTGGATAAAGGTATCTGTAAGCAAAGGATTCTTTCATGAACAAGAATATTCTTTATTTCCATGCTTAAGGGATTTCAGTCATGAAAAATGGTGTCACATGAATTAAAAAAATAAAATTGTCTAAGAAAATAAATAACAAGCTGCATTTTAGTTGAAAATAATTTGCATGAAGTGTACATGAACAGTTATGGTCAAAAGTGTACATTTTAAAATGTCCTTATAAAAATGGATTGCAGACAGAAATAGCTAAATTGTGTCTGACAAACAGTAGTTTATCCTAATGCTTTCTAAATACCTCAGAAATCTTTACTCACGGAGATGCTACGAGGATTAACCTGGTGACAGAAATATAGCAATTTGAAAGCTTAATGAAAAAGACTGTTGGCCTGACTCCAGTTATCTCAGTCCTGTTGAGCACTCCTTTTCCTGGGTTAACTGCATTAATTTCAATAAAAGTACTTGCACAGCACGTCACTTCTCAGTGTAAAGAATTTAGTCACGGCAGAGCCAAGTCTCTGTGATTTTCCCTGAACTGTTTGTCTTTCCTAAAAAAACAGCAATGATTTAATCATGATTAGTTATGCATTCATATTCAGAGTATAGTATAATAGCAAGAAGAGAAAAATTACTATGTGTTTATCACGTCCGTGGTATTACTGTTACAGTACCACAGAAATTTTTCAAAAGTACCAGTAATATCCCTGCTGCATATAATGAATATTAAAATAGTACACTGGAATAGAGAACATTCTGCTCCATTTATACAAAGGGTCAGCTCTGTAGAATCATAGAATCATAGAATCATAGAATCACTAAGGTTGGAAAAGACCTAAAAGATCACCCAGTCCAACCGTTCACCTATTCCCAATAGCTCCTACTAAACCATGTCCCTCAACACAACATCCAGTCTTTCCTTGAACACCCCCAGGCTCGGTGATTCCACCACCTCCCTGGGCAGTCCATTCCAGTGCCTGACCACCCTTTCTGAAAAGTAATACTTCCTCATGTCCAGCCTGAATCTCCTCTGCCGTAGCTTGAAAAAGGCACTGATTCTGGATAAACTTTATGTTAAAAAATGTCAGTAAAGCCACAGTCAGCCAATAAACAGACAAGTACTGTGGAAACTTCTTTCTTATGCTCTTGGCCATAGATATCAGCCTGACCTTTAAATATCCCCATCATTTCGGTCTGGTTTTCTGTCTGCTCAAAAATTATTTCAGAGTCAAACTAACAGGCTAAAAGTTTAGACAGATTTTCCCTTGGAAAACCACAGAGCAATTATAAATTATTCTATAAAAGATAAAGAAACATCATGATTAAAAGCATGGATTTTGGATAAAGATCTTTCAACTGTTGGGAAAGCAACATGCAGTAAAGGAAACCATTTTAAAACAGCATGTTCTTCATATGACTGCCAGCCACTGTTGAAATAAAGTGAACAATATTCGTGGCAACTCACCATTTCACCATTACTTGCCACTCTTGGATTGTAAACTCGTGGTGGAATCCATTGCTCATAATTTATCACCTAGATGGTAAGAAAAGTTAAAAGAAATCCAATGTAAATAAGATGAATAAGTATAAATTACCATGTTACTATCATGTCATTAAATGAAGGTTGAAAGATCAGCAGTCTTTCAACAAAACACTGTGTGCATACAAACGTGATGGCTGATAGACACCGGCTGACACACACTGAAATCAGTTTGAAACCAAGCTGTCTTCATTTCATCAGGCCTGGGATGCCCTATAAGCATCATGCTGCCTACATTATACCATGGGATGCTTGAATCGCATTCTACATCCTCTTTTTTTCTACGAGCAGGAAAACCCCAATTCTTTCTTCAGCCTCAACTCCTCAGCTGAGGAGCAAATGTCACTGATGCAGTTCTAAAAAGAGCCTCATTCAGTCTGCCTAATTTTGCCTCTGATGCTGAGCCCCAGGGGTGTGAGTTTGGTTTGGATTAACAAAGCAGAGAAAATGGGAGGATCTTCAGAACTAAGCAAAGACAAGACTATACACTCTTTCATCATCTGCTCATAATCCATTTCTTGGTCACAATGTCCTCATGATAGGAACATCAGGAGAATACACTTTCCCTGGGGCACTGATGCAGTCCCTGGTGGGCAAGCCTGACAGTGCTTATAGCTTATCAGTGAAAGTAATGAATGCCAGCCTTTTTTTCTTCATGAATATGAATGACACTTTGAAGGCTGAATGCAACCTAAGAATTTACGTGAGAAATGAGGCATGAAACATTTTTGAAAATGTATTAGCCCAAAGACTGCATTACTTCATATTTTATGTCCTTCTCAATATGCTACAAAGGGTTTGAGCCATGGAGGGAGCCCTGCTAGACTTGAACAAACAAGAGCAAAGAAAAATAAATTCAGAAGGTACAGTTATTTTCTTATGGTAAAGCTCAACTATTACAGCGTTGCTCTTGTGTCAGTCAACCTGTGCTTCTGCTCCAAGCCCCTTTTTGCAAGTGCTTTAAGATGGAATTGAATAGAACAGAATGGAATGAGCATCTACTTAAGAAATGGATGGGGAATCTCAGTTTTCCTGAAGCACTTATAGAAGCCTGTTTGTCTGAGAGACAGAGTGCAAAAATGCTCATTTCTTTAATTGCTCTTTCTTGTAAACTTGGCTCTTTTATGTTTTATAGAATCACAGATGCACTTGGGATGGCTGAGACAGGAAGTTACGTCTGGGGACTTCTAGCGAGAACAAGTCTGCTAGAACAGGTTGCCCAGGTCTGTCGAAGGTTTGAATCATTTCCAATCATTTTCAATGACAGACGTTCCACAGATTATCTGAGCAACCTCTTCCAGTGTTTGTTCAATTTTGTAGCAAAACAAAACAAAAAAAACTCACTTTCTTTATGTTAAAAGGAATTTTCTATATTTCAGTTTGTTTCTATTACCTCTTGTACTGTTCTTGGGTACCCCACCCCTGACAGGAGTCTGACTCTTTTCTTTACTCTCCCAGAAAGCATTTGTACACCTGGGTCAGATCTCCCTGAGCCTTCTCTGCTTCAGGTCTCTGAATTTCTCTATGTATGACATATGCTTCAATCTCTAAATTATTTTTGTGGCCCTTAAGAGGATTTACTTCTCTTGGACTGGGGGGCCAATAATTGGACCCGACACTCACAAGAGGTGGGTCAGCTCACTAATGCTGAACATGGGGCAAGGATCACCCTCTTCAGCCTGCTAGCAATGCTCTGCTCAATGCAGCCCCGGAGGTTGCTGACCTTCTTTTCTCCAAGAACACTTTTCTGGCTCATGGTCAAGTTGGCGTACACCAGGACGCACTGGTCCTTTCCTGTAAGGCTGCTTTCCAATCAGTTACCCCTCAACCTGTACTGGGAGAAGGTGTCATCCATCCCCAGGTTCAATACTTTCACTTGCATTTATTGAACTTGATGAGGTTCTTTTGGGGCCATTTCTCAGAACTGCTGAAGTCCATTTTGAAGGGCAGCATAATCCCTCTGGTACATCACTTTCTTTTCTGGCTCTCTGCTGCTCACTTCTCACCAGCTGATGTGTTGTTAACTACTTTTATATTACAATTATTATACAAACCCAGGGGTCAGAACTCTTTAATCGCTCATAGTAGTGGCCTAATTAATATATTCAGAAGAGACACAGTATGCATTTATATAAATTAAGATAGCATTAGAGATACATGTGCCAACATGGATCACGCAAAACTAATACAAACACTTACTATAGGTCTTGGCTGTTACAATTCAAGCACATCAATTTAACAGAAATGTGTTTGTTCAAGAAGACAGGAAGTTTTTTAAGTGATAAAACCTATTTGTTCTGCATAATAAAAATGGTGCACAGCTCAGATAGCCAAGATCTTTTAAACTTGACTTCTGAAATACATACAGGTATACTGACCATGAAGTGCATGCTTTGAAAATTCATACAGAATGGAAGCAAGAAATATGCTTTTTGTTTGATTGAAATTTTAGAAGCTCGAGAGTAGTTCTTTTACCTGGCATGTTGTTTCTTCTATCTTCTTTCCTCGCAGCAAATGTATCCCGTCACCAACAATATTATCTTCTATGAATAATGAAAAAAGCAACAAAAGACATGCTTTCAAATGTCCTGCTTTCAGGTTTTTTTCTGACGAATATCATTTGAATTGCACTTGATAGTTTGAGCTGACATTTTGACTCTCTGAAGTTAACCCTGTATCATGTAAACATGCATTTTTATCTCAAACTACTCTGAAGTAAGACTACAGAGCAAACTAACAAGATGATGTACATAAATATAATTCATTCATGCTTACTTCTTCATCTGAACTTAGTCCTCAGTTTACTAACGCAGAATCCCACCAAGCACTTCCTCCAGTATCTCAGTGCAGAAGCATGTGAAATATTTATATAAAAATTTGAACTCCCTAGACAAAAATGGTCATTGCAGTTGAGATCTGTTTAACTTCAATCTTTGAAATAGTTGGATGAGCATGAAACTAATGCTTTGTTTGGGAAGAATGTTTACTTTCATTACAACAATGCACAATAATTAGTCAAATGACTTTAAAAGTCTACATTTTAATAAGACTATTTTGAAAGATCTACTCTCACTTCCATTTTTAAGTCAAGGCAAAGTATCCACCATCACCTAGTGCGTGACCCTAGCGATTACATTCCATCAATACACATATCAGCCTGATTATGATTTTCTAATCACAGAATTAAGTGCTACCTTGGCTTTCCAAAATTAACAGAAAATAATCTTAACTTGGTCTTATTTTTGCTGCTGAGGAATGCCTTGCAATATTGGTAATAATTATTACCCCAGTCCTCAAAATGTCTATACTTATGTTGGAATTAAACAAAAACAGAAGGTGAATAAAGCTGATCAAAAAAACTTGTAAACTCATGTCAGTGAAACAATCAAAGCATCACTGTACAGGCAAGTTAACACCTATATTTTTATGTTATTTATAAAGAAAATAATTCTGAATCAAGAGACATACTTAGTATTGTTAATTTTCTTAAAAGACAATCCTTTGTAAATAAAACAAAACAAACAACATTCAGTGCTTCTGTAATTTTGCTACTTGGATATTGTAAAGTCTGAGTTAAAATTCACAAATTATGATCTGAGCATCAGGCATAAAAGAGCAAAATTCAGTTCACACATGATTTCCACCCTCAAACCATAGGTCGGTTGCACAGGAAACCCCATTAAGCAATTTCCTTTATTTAGCATACGCATCAAAAATAAGAAGGAAAATTAGTCACCTTTTTTTTTTTTTAGTGAGTTTTAGAGGTTTCTGTAAGAGTTTAAATAAACTTAGAAGACAGTATCTTTCTCCTGAATACCTGATTGTTACAGCAATACCAACAATTTTATGCTAAGCATATTAGAGTCCAAAATCTAACATGACCAGATGTCCCAAGCACCTACAAATCTCCTTGAAGTCACTGAGGGCCAGGTGTCTGATAACCCACCCATTTATTTGAATGCAGAGCTAGTTAGACTTCTAGAGGCATTGCAACTCATGTCAAGTAATGCTTATGCAGTCAGATTAACATAACTGGGAAGTTTCTGGTCACTTTAGTGTAGGGGGAATTAGGAGCAGGGGAGAGTCATGTCCACTATTTCTGCAAGGTGTCAGCCCTTTTCTGTTTGTCTCAGGAATGCATGTGCATGGAAGCTCAATGACTATGACTCTCATAGTCAACTTTTTCAACAATGTCATTTTCAGGCTGGCAAATCTGGTACTGATGATTTGGATTTGGGCTTGTAAGTGAAGATAGGTATTCCCACTATTCTGTCTGTGATATATATATGGTCTTTATGTGATATATATATTGTACTATTATAAGAATAAGTGGTATTTTATAGATTTTGCACAGTCACATTAGGGACCTAATGCAAAGGCTACCAGAGTCATTGGATGTCTTTTCATTGATCAGGTTTGGATCAGGCCCATCAATATAGTTCTGAAGTAAGCACAGGAGCCTATGCTGGCCACCACACACAGCCTATTGCATCTAACAGAAAATCATATTATGCAATAGATCTGCAGACCTTGAAGGATTATCTCTCTTAAGAGAAGGTTTTAATCAATAGTGACAAATTATCTTGATCAATAGTGAAACACTTTAAATCTCCTTGTAATGGTTTTCACCACTGTGTGAAGGGGACTTCCCTTTTAATAATTTTACTGCAGAGGGGGAAAGGGAGATTTTTATTTAGCTGCCAGCCTTGCTTCCTGTTCCCTCTGGGCCCCTGCCCTTCAATTACAACACTTGTCAGCTTTTAAAATGTGCACTGCTTCTTTTGCATGCTTTGGATATTTAAAAGGGTAAAAAAAAAGTCTTGAGTAGGAAGGACTGGAGGAAGGTCAAAAAGTTTCTTCTCTGATTCAACTTTTTTCCACCTTCAAACTGACAATCTGTACAGTAGGTTGAAGAATTTTGAAATATTTTTTGCTAAAAGTAAGACTTGCTCGGAAAGAAACTCTAATTTTTCTTTCAGTTATCATTAGAATCCTTTCCCTTTGAAGCCAGTGAGACTCCTTTTCTGCCCGTCAGTTCATCACAAGGGCAGAGCTCCTCCTTAGAAGGGTCTATTGTGATAACACAAGGAGAAATTATTTCAAACTAAAAGATGGGAGATTTAGTTTGGATATGAGAAAAAGTATTTTATGACAAGGGTAGTGAAGCATTAGCACAAGTTGCCCAGAGAGGTGGTGGATGCCCTATGCCTGGAGACATCCAAGTTCAGGCTGGATGGGGCTCTAAGCAACCTGATCTATCTGTAGGTGTCCCTGTTCATTACAAGGGAGTTGGACTAGATGGTGTTTAAGGGTCCCTTCCATCTGAATCGAGTCTGGAATTCTCTGATTCTGTAAATTTTCTTGTCATCTTTTCATTCTGGCTCTGGTTTGTAGAAATCCAGCCTACTCATACACAAACAAATGCAATAGCGTTTACAATTTCAGATCCATTATTTTCCAAGCATTTAAGAATTCATCTTCAAGTGGTGAAGCAAATCCAGAGGGATACCTGGCACTTTGTCCTTTGCTATCTTTGGCATATCCTATTAACAGCAGAATCACTGAACAATGGATGATTTCTGGACCATTTTTACAGGAATTACTAAAAATAAATGTACTTCCCCTCTTGCCACTGTGTTGGCTTAAGTAGAGAATGAAAGATACATCCAATTTTATCTCACATATCAAAGATTCTGTTTATGCTAATACAAGTGTTGAACTTTGACTGCTTTAGCCTCATAAGCGCTGTATTGGGCCTTCCTTGGCTTTAGAAAGTACAAATACAAATTCAATTCCTGGAAGCAACATTAAGCAGGTTGTCAAAACATTCTGATTTTTTTAAAGCCTAGTTTAAATAAACAATGTGAATGCTCACATGTTATTTTTTCTAATTTAATGAATTTATACTGGTCAGTTCTTACAGCATCACTAGCAAATTCCCTGTATGATTGCTTCAATTAAAGTTAGTTGAAATGCACCGTAAAAAGCAAATTGGATAAGAGTAGCCTAGAAAATTTGTACCTAGCACTTGGAGCAGTGTAAAGTACACAGGGAACCATAGGATAATATTACATTTGCGAAGTCCTGTACAACCCAAAAATGACAATTTACCATAGGAGAATTCTTTTTTTGCCCATGGACCACAGACAGAATTATTCACATAGCATGTTCTCAGCTTCCCAGTTTTAAAGTAAGCTTTATTTAAACTACTTTTTCCCCCCATTAGGACAAAGTAGATCTCAAAAGGATTTGACAAATTATTTAGTTTGATTATTTGTGAAAAACAAGAAATTTTCCTAGGTGCCATTTTAAAATACTTTGTGAAAAAATGCAAAATCAGCTGAAATACATTTAGCAATTACCTTCAAGCTGACAGGGCCTTCTGATGTACGAATCATTCTCCAGCTTCCTGGAACCCTGCCAAAGTGTGCCATTCACATTTTTCCTGTCTAAAGTAAAAGCACAGAGAGCAGTCACCTAAATTCATAGCAAACCCGTGAAATAACAGGAAGGTCTATAAAAATAGCATAAGATTGTAAACCAAATGGGCTTGCAGAATCCTGTAGAATCTGCTCAAACAATAGTAAGTGGAAATAAGTAGATGGTTTTGCAATATAGGAAATCTGACAGATTTGGGCAGACTTCGAGTTTTGTTGTCTTTTGTCCCTGTCTAGGACCTCATCTAACACTGTTAAAATTTGATCAGAATGATTTTTATCTTAACCTTGGTTTTAATACCTAGCAGCCCATAGAACACGTGTGCCTTTATTTGCTTCCAGGAATTGCACTGAAAAGACTGAATTTGATTCTATCAGAGTGATTTACATTTTTTTTATTTAAATGTTTAAAGAGTCACTGAACATGCTAAGTATTTTCATATGCTGTTCCATTATAGATTCTTGAGTATAGGAACTAAACTGAAATTAAAATAGCTTTGGTTCCAGTATCTAACAACCAATGTATGTGTAGAAAGCGGGGGGAAGAAGGGGGAATACATTGGTATCTTAGGTGTATTATTCCTTTCCTTTGCATTTGCTCCAAGGGTTGTAAAGCAAATCAGACCCTTAATTAAATTTGGCTCTGTGAGATTAATAAGCATATACTGAATGATTTAAATAGTTACTAACCAAACGCTTCATTTTCAGACAGAGACTTCTGGATGGATCTAAAAGAATTAAAAGAATTAACCATTAGCTAAAAGTCAGAATGACAAATGAAAGCACATTTAATCAAATATGGTTATTTTCAACCTAATTCTTAAATTCCCAGGGATTTGGCTGTGCAATTCATACTGGCTTCAATTGGAGTTAGTTGTCTTACTTCATTCACCCAGTCATTACTTCCACATGCCACAGAGGGCTCTGAAATCTTTTGAGTTTTCACTTTGTAGAAGTGTTTTATTCAAGTTTCTTTTTGTAACAGGGATCTCATGACTGAATCAGGGAGGCCATCAGAAGGAGAATAAGAGATACATTTCTTTAGACATGATCTGAAATGTCCTGCAACTTACAGAAATTACCATCTGAAGTTTGGTGACATGATAATAAATTAAACCAAACAGCTACAGAAGAACATACATAACCCACAAACTATGTGGGGTCATTTTATTGCTCCAATAAACCTTGACCTCTTCACATGTTTACACCAAGATATAATGCTAACTCATGCTTCCATCTGCAGTGAGTGGTTCAAAGATTCATACACAAAGAATACATTAATAGAAGAAAAAAAAATCTCAGAATGAAGACAGATTTATCCTGTATATTAATTTGTTTCACTTTACCCATTAAAAACAAAAACAAAAACAACTTATAGTAATTTTTGAGCTAGAGGATGAAGCCAGAAGACAATACTAGATAAGTCTTTATCTTTTATCTATAGACTCTTTAATCTATGACAATAAGCAGAAGGGAAAGTGCACAAAAATTGAGATCCCTCTCCCATACTCAGGCAGGTGGCAAAGGGTTTTCTGAATGAGAGGATACAACTGAGCTATTGATTTGTCTGTGAACAGTAGTTCCTTTTGAAACTGCTTAGAATTTTTTTTCATTTCCAGAGATTCACTATTATTTTACTGTTTAAAGAAAGCATACTTCTGTTACTTCTGCTACTGATATTCAATGTTCTCTTCCTTGTTGCCCTGATGTAAGGAAGAGAATGATCATTTGCCTGCTGTAAGGGAAGATCAGTTTCAAGACCATCTAAAGAATCTGAAGGTGCGCAAGCCCATGGGACCCAATGAGATCCATCTCTGGGATCTGAGGGAACTGACAAAGTTGCCAAGCCATCGTATTTGAAAATTCATGGCAGTCTGGTGAAGTTCCCACTGTTTGGAAAAGGAGAAACATAACCCCCATTGTCAAGAAGGGAAAAAAAGAAGATCCAGGAAACTACAAGCCAGTCAGTTTCACCTGGCACACCTTGTCTGCCTGACACAATCATGGAGCAGATCCTCCTTAAGGTTCTACTAAGGCACATGGAAATTAAAGACAAGGTGGTTGGTGGTAACCATGGTTTCACCAAGGGCAAGTCATGTCTGACCAATGTGGTGGCCTTTCATGGTGGTGTTACAGTGTCAGCGGATTAAGGAAGAGCAACTGATATCATCTACCTGGACTTGTGCAAAGTGTTTGACACTGTCCATCATGACATCATGGTCACCAAATTGGAAAAAAAAAACGGATTTGATGGATGGATTATCCTCTGGATAAGGAACTGGCTGGATGGTTGCACTCAGAGAATTGCAGCCAGTGGCTCAGCGTCCAAGTAGGAACCGATGATGAGTGACATTCCTCACGGTATTGGGACTGGTGTTATTTAAAATCTTTTTAGGCAGCATGGACAGTGGGATTGAGTGCAACCACAGCAAGTCTGCAGATGACACCAAGCTGAGTGGTGCAGTTGACACATTAGAGGGAAGGGATGCCATCCAGAGGGATCTGGATGGTCTTGAGAGGTGGGCCTATGCCAACCTCATGAAGTTCAACAAGGCCAAGTGCGAGGTCCTGCATCTAAGTCAGGGCAATCTCAAGCACAGGTACAGGCTGGGGAAAGAATGGCTTGAGAGCAGCCCTGAGGAGAAGGATTTAAGGGTACTGATGAAAGATTCAACATGAATGGGCAATGCATGCTTGCAGCCCAAAAAGCAAACTGTATCCTGGGTTCATCAAGAGAATTGTCACCAGCAGGTTGAGGGAGGTGATTCTGCCCGTCTTCTGAGACCCCATCTGGAGTACTGCATCCAGTTCTGGAGCCCTAAACAGAAGTAGAACATGTAGTTGTTCAAACAGGTCCAGACGAGGGCTACAAAGATGAGCAAAGGGTTAGAGCAACTCCCCTATGAGGACAGGCTGAGAGAGCTGGGACTCTTCAGCCTGGAGAAGAGAAGGCTTTGAGCAGACCTTATAGCAACCTTCCAGTACCTGAAGGAGGCCTATAGGAAAGCTGGGGAGGGGCTTTTTATAAGGGCACGTAGTGAGAAGATGAGGGGAAATGGTTTTAAACTGGAAGAGGGTAGACTTAGACTAGATATCAGGAAGAAATTCTTTAATGTGAGAGTGATGAGACACTGGAACAGGATGCCCAGTTTGGTTGTGGATGCCTCCTCCCTACAAGCATCCAAGGTCAGGCTGAATGGGGCTTTGAGCAACTTGGTCCCCTGCCTATAGCAGGGGAGATGGAACTAGATGATCTTAAAGGTGCTTTCTAACCCAAACTATTCTATGATTCTATGATTCTGTGATTTCTCACTGACTTTCTCCATATCTATGGAAAAGGCCAATCAAAAATTTCTACATTATCAAGTAGAAGTTTGATACCAGTTGTAAGAGATTATTCTTTTACATCGTCTCAAAGCTTGCTGGGGACACAGACGGACAAGTCCAAGCAAGTCCTGGGCAAGGGTTAAGAAATCCTTTGTCTGAGGGACACAGATGGACAAGGCCAGGAGCAGAGAGAAATAAGACAAGCTTAATGGTTGAGGTCTTTTGTGGGGGCTTATCTCAAGGAAGATGGCCATCTCAGGAGGTGCTGCATGTGACTCTTGCTCAAGCGCCCAGAATGCCACACTGGCAGAAGAAGAAGGATAAAAAGGGAACCTACAACCATGAGTTGAGGTTTTCCGGCAACAGATTCCTCATGAAGAAGAAGAGGTTTCTGCCACGAGAAGCCTCATGACCTGCCTCTCTCCCTCCTGGACTTGCTCTGTGCTCTACCAGCATGCTGAAGAAGAACCGAGATGTCTGCCACCAGATTTCTCACTATGGAATTCCTGCATGCTGACAGACTCTCCTGGGCCTGCTACCTGAGTCCTGCTGCTTCCTCCCGGATTGGCTCTGCGAATTCTTCCTGCTACCTGCTTGCTGCCCAAGGCCCGCCACACTGTTGCTCCCCCCTGCTGCTTCTGCCTCGGGCCTTCGAAATGTTGTGCAATGGGACGCTGCTGGATCCTGGTGGTGACTCTCCCTACTTCACGCAATTCTTGCTTCTTTCCTATCTTTTCTATTGCCCTCCTTCCCTTCCCCGTCTCCCTGATTAGGATTTATAATAAACTGGTCAGATCAACATTTGAACCATTGTTTGTTAATCTCACACTGGGTATGCAGACATTAAAAGAACCTCATCTCCCTCCTATAAATTGAAGCAAGAAAGCAGCACAGTGATGTCTGGACATTCACAGCAAAATAAGATTTGAATGCAATTCACATTGGGAGAAATTGTCTTAATCTTATTCATTATTTATATTGATTATTCAAGTGATCAAGACAACCTTTCTAAATTCTGATTAGTTAAATGGAATGGAGTTAGTTTTAGAATAAAATAATATTATTTGCATTGTAAGATTTGAGAGTGGAGCCAGAGATTACTATTCCTATCACTAGGGTAGTCTTGGTACTGAACTAAGCAGGTGTCTCAGGCAGCTTGGTGATTGCGTCATATTTGGTAGAGCTATTTTAAATTATTTATGCTGTGGTAATTCCATGCCAGCATACACAGCAGTTTAGCTTCCTTAAAAGTATTAAATGATGATTAGAAAAAAATGTGAATAATGGAGTTATATCCGTACTTAGATAAATGAAATTTTGGAAAGGAAGAGCACTTTCACAACGAAAAACAGATGAAAACTGTCTATTAAGACAAATGAGATTTTCACTGAAGTTATTATCTATTTTGAAATTTACTAGCAACATAGAGAGATGGCACTGATGATCTGAATTTAATGATGCCCATCCTAAGAAAGAAAAAAATAGAATGACATCCAAGGATTTTCATGCCACAGCTGTACAGATAAGATCTGTGTTTATCATTCCATTAGACAGGATTTCATTAGAAGGGAACTTCATCGGTAATGCAAAAACTGCTAATCTCAAGACAAAAAAAGAAAATTTTCAAAATAAACTCTGCTTGCTAATAGATTAGTCCAAACTGGTATTGTGCCTTAACAAATTGGCATGAAGTATGCTGCTGCCTCAAATGTATTTGATTAAATAAGGTTTGTCCTGCTTAATCTGAATCATTTTGCAAACTAATTTTTTATTTGGATTAAAAAACACAACTCTTCAGAAGATTATCAGGTCAATGGTACAAACGTTCCATAAAATAGGTTACTTCAGTCTTTCAGAAAAGTGGACATACGGTTAAAACAAGCTCAGATTAACTGCATTTGATTTCAGCTATCCTGTCCCAATATTTTTAAGATTTACGTATATGAAAAAAAAATCACAGCAAGAAAGCTTTACTAATATTACACACCTGTTAACTTGGTTCCCAAATGCAATATTAATACATGTACGCTATGAAAATTAATGTAACATTGGCAAACACATTAACAGAACAACAAGGGTGAAAGAAACAGATGAATATAGCGACACTGTGTAGACCTTGAATTGGTCTCAACTTACTTTCTCTTTTTGGTCACTGTGTTCTCAAAATCAGGAAATTCCTTAAAAAACAAAACAAAACAAAACAAAACAAAACAAAAAAAAACAGAGAAAAGATATGAAAATCATAATTTTTTAATCAAAATATAATATTTTCCCCACTGTAAGGACAATGCAAGATGGCTTTATGCACATTTGATATGTGTTTTTAATATCCACTAATATTCAACAAGTGAAACTACGGAGGACACAGTGCAGGAGAGAATATACATAAGTAAGTGTCCTAGATTTTCAGAGATTTCAATATCAATGGCTCCCAAGAAGTTGACACTGACAGCTGTAATACGGACAAAAAATCAAAGCACAGTACTCTTACATCAAAAATGGGTATTTCCAGCATAATATGATTCTTTTTAATACTGCCTCCATAAAGTAAATTTTATGAGGATAAAATGCTCACAAATTACAGTGGGATGAATCTTTCTAATGGACACAGAAAGATGCAGACTCTCTAATTCCCTTACATGCAGAGGATGTGATCATCCCCCTGTACTCAGCACTGGTGAGGCCACACCTCTGAGTACTGTGTTCAGTTTCAGGCCCTTCACTGCAAGAAAGATAGTGAGGCCCTGGAACATGTTCAGAGAAGGGCAGTGAAGCTGGTGAGGGGTCTGAAGCACAAATCTTATGGGGAGCAGCCAAAGGAACTAGGATTATTCAGTCCGGAGGAGGCCTCTTCTCCCATGTAACTAACAACAGGGATAGAGGGAACAGTCTCAGGTTGTGCCACAGGAGATTCAGGTTGGATATTAGGAAATACTACTTCTCCAAAAGAGTAGTCAGGCACTGGGATGGGCTGCTCAGGGAGGTAGTGGAGTCACCAATACTGGAGGTGTTCAGGAAATGTTTAGATACATGTTTAGGCGATGTACCAAGAGACATGGTTTAGTGGGAACTGTAGGTGATATTTCTTAAGACAGAGTATCAAAGCAATATATCACTTTCATATCTATTTCTTCCAGCCTGGAAAACAGAAACCGGGGTAAAAATATCCATGATGAATGTCATTTAGATCTGCTGGGCAACAAGACACATTTAAAAAAATAAATATGAAAACATCAATTTATGGATCTATTTCTCATATTCTTATGTTTAATTTTTTTCCTTTATGTAATATCATCTAAACAGCTCTGACCACAGTAATTTAAAAAATACCAATCAGCTTGCAGGATGAAAAGGCAGAACACATATTACACAAAACAATGCAAGTGTATAACTGAGAATTTTATATTTTTTTCCTTCTCTTACTATAATCCATCATTCTTCTGAAAAGGCTTTTCCATTAGGAAAAGGCTGTTTTATTGCATTGAGTTTATTTTAGCAGAGTGCAGGAGGCCCCACTAGTACCTGGACACAATCTGTGAATGCTAATAATTGTATGCAGTTTCCACAAAATAGCTTTGCAAGTATAGTTTCACTCTCAGATACTATATGTGGATCAAAAGAGTATACCTTTTACCCTGAAATACTGCAAGCAATGGAAGAAAAAGTTCTTACCGAAATAAAAAACAAACCTCTCAGCATGTCTTGGGACAAATCTTTTCAATGGTTGAAAGATGTTGAAAAAGTGATTTTAAAAAGGGTAGCATCAACATCTCATTTAAAAACATCAACCTTTTTATCTCAAGAAGGCTCATTAAAGGAAATGCTATGCATGAAGGTCAGAGACCATACAGAGAACATTGTTAAGTTAGAATCTCTATGAAAACCAGAGCAAAAAACTGCAGATGTGGCATTCTCTGAAGTTCAGTGTGGCCTCATACCTGGAAACATGATTAATTCAAGTCTGGACATGCCAAATATCTGGTTTGGAACATGCAGGTTTAATATTTGCTCTACAATTTCAAACAAATGCTTCACCATCTGTTTCCTAAAATGCAGTCAAAGATGCATGTATCACACTGCTTCACATGTTGAGGCAGTACTGAAGAATTCATTAGATATAATGGAATGCAGTGTCACCATGGAATATGATGGTGGGATTCTATGGGCATTTAAAATGGCTCCTTTTATTCAGTGCACCTCTTTTTGTGATGTCTGAATCAGCTGTCTGATTGGAGTACAAAATAAATTATTCTTCTTAGTACTTTAAGTTTTTACATTACTTGAATACACTAGAAAATCCTACCACTGTGATCTGTAACTAAGAATTAAGTAGTTTTGCAAACATGTTTTACCTTTAATTGTAAAGAAAGTTTCACCTAAAATCTCATCTCTACATTCTCTGAAGTTTGTCATTACCTTTTCAATGGAAATTAGAAAAGTTTCCCTATCCCAAATACAAATGATTTATTTCTTAAAAATAAACTAAATGTACGTGGAAACTCAGCATTATGAAATTGCAATAAAGTCCTTTCCTCCCTGCTTTCATCAAATAGCTCTGAATTAAGGAATGAGTACCTCTGGTGTTTACAAGTAAGCTGAAAAAGCTAGAGCTCCTCTGTTTGTTAGACTTAAGCAGGCAAATAATGACTTCAGGTAACCAGCCCTCTTCTTTCTCCCAGTGGTATCAAATGCCAATTATAAAGTAGGTAATGTAACTGCTTGTGGTTTTGATGACAGTAACTTAGAAAGACTGATAAATTATTTGGCACTTTTCTGATACACAATGTAGTTGATCATATCACAATTAACAGTTGAAAAATATGTGGACATCTGTGATTTCAATCTGACAGGAAATGTATGAAAATATTTTTAATGTAGAAGATTTTTCTTGTGAAGCTTAACACAGGCCATGAGGTAGAATATGAAGAAATTCAGTTTCCCAGTTAATAACACTGTTAAACACAAACTGTACCCATATGATTCATTATGCACTTTTGGCTACCAGCTGTATCTGAGGAAGGCTTGTTTCAACATTGCTAAACTTAAGATTCAGAAAGAGCTCTGTAAATTTAGTTTCTGCTCTCTATTTGAGAAGACAACTGAAAAACTACTGAGAAAGTACCCCAAAAGTTAACAGACATGCCTCTGTGAGAATTAAAATCAATAAACAAGTGTGTATATCATGCACAAGCAATTACTACAGGAATCCAGATTGGGAACACCTCAGGCAAAACATTTCATATACTAAATAAGATAAAAAAAAGAGTACATGAAAGATTATTCTTTATAAACAATGTGATGGCATGCAGCCAGATGCAAAAATAATCACCACTCAAAAAGGTGTTCAGTGAGTGTATTTTCTGAATTATGTCCTGCACAGCTCCAGTTGCCACAACACCCTGTATTTTCCACGTCTCTGGTGGAACGTCACAACCCAACTATGACTGAGACAAATCACAAGAGACAAGATAACAGCAAGAAAATAACTGCTTTGCTGCAGCAGGAGGAAAAAATTCCACTAGGTCTAACTTCCATCTTCTGAATTGAGGGGAGCAGAACTTGAATGCCTGCTATGTTGATGTACAAAGTAATATGGAAAAAAGAAAGGGGGAAAATTCTCCCAAGAAAGAGAAGTGTCATGTCAAGCTGCTCCATCCTGAGGAAATATAACAGCTCTGTGGAATCTACATGGCCATGGCTCAGCCGATCATTTAAACATACTCTCAAGCCCATACCCATTAGCAATGCACTTAAGTATATGCATTACTGAATAATGATAGATGGTTGAATCAGGGCCTGAGGGAGCCAATAATGTGCTGAATTTATCATGCTATGGGGGCCGCCCTGCAGCATGGAACTAAGTGACGGAATTAAAAATGGGAGAGAAGTACAAATGGGCTCAGTTAATAAGCTTAACGGCTTCATCCAAGGTGTAGGTCTAATAACTCACATGCTAGAAATAGCAGATAAGATTACACATAGTCCTTTGGCCCTAGCAGCATTTTTCCATAGGTCTTACCATTGACACGTCATCGCTAATCTTGTTTTCCATTTCTAGAGAGTATTTTATAAATAACCATGTTGATTCTACAGCCTGCACAGTGACACAGCATTGAGCTGTTATTTTTAGTTAAGTGCTGAGCTGAATATTCTCTCAAAACATAAAAAATAAAGCTCACAGCCAGTCTTATGGGGCTTCTTGTTAATATTTAGTGTGCCAACAGATTGCTTCCCACTTACCCTTGCTTTTATTGATGATGAATTTAAATTTACGATGAATAAATATGCCATCACTAAAATATCTCCCTTAGGAAAACAGAAATATATTATTAGAGATAGCAGAAACGAAAGCGCTGGATTCTTCTATTCACTGCTGTTTATACCTTCGTGGTCTAGGCAATACCACAGAAACAGCTCTGAGTAATATAAGAACAACTTTCTTCATTTTTTTCAGATTGATATCTAGCATCTTCTAATCCTACACTCGCAACTTATCTGCTTCTCTAGGCCGGCTCAATGAAAATAAAGCTGCATTGGACAGGTTGTTTACTTGTATAGGGTTTAAAATTTATGAAGTTTCACTTCATATAAAGGTAATGAAGAGTCTGAAGGAAAGTTGCTGAATCAGAAAACAGAGCAAAATAGGAAAAAAAGTAAGAAATAAAAAGCATGAGGTCACTGCATCTTTAATTCTTAGTCTTACACACTGTAATTAACCTAGTGCTGAGCACAGTGTTATGGATCTGACTCTCCCATACCTTGGCAAGATAAAGAACAAGTCACGGTAGTTATCTGTTGCAAAGTACCGTGTCACATCCTGGACACCAACCAAAGGACAATTCTATTCTTCACTTTATCTAAATCCAGTTCCTAGCAGATAAGCAAAGGACAAAGAAATAGCATAGCTGCCATTAGTTGGTCAGCTGGCTTGACGTCATACAGAAAGAGAAACATTCTGAATGGATGTAGAGGCTGAATGTCACATATTCATTAGAAGAACAGCATGCTTCAGTACTGTTGTATACCACAGCCCTAGCCAAAAAAAGCTAGATCTTACATATCTGAAATACTGGAAGCACACTAGGATCAGGTCACAGCCATATTTCACAACCATGATTAAAAACACTTAGGTGAAATGGTGTAGAAGTGGCTCATTTTTCTAGTAACGAGGTCACAACCAGATAATGGAGAGAAACCTGTCACACAAGAAAGCATCTCCAACTTCCTGCAACAAAACTGTAACTCAGGCACATCCCACAGCCCAGGCTCACAGATCTGTGCTGATGTGATGAGGCCTCTTGAGATCTCTGCGCTACTATGCTCTCAAAACCAAACCATTACACAAAGCATCGAGACGATAATCCAGAAGAGAGCATGCACAGAGTAAGTTGGGTCCGGGAAGAATAAGTTATTTCCATTCCTTTAGGATTCAAAAAACACACGCAACAATTCCCCAGCCATTTTCCTGTTCCACTTGCTCAGATGCTCTCTCCACACAAGTCCCATTCACAAACCTGCTTCGCATCACTACAACACCGTAGGCCCAACAGACATATAGGTACGTGGTAACTAAACCACAGCACACAAGGGTAAAGCCTGGCATAATTTGTGCTGGCAGAAGTCTCTCTTCCTTTAATAATGAACATTCTGGTTTCTTGTTATTCCTTCTTTTTATTCTGTCGCGAGACTGCATCATATGTCACTATTTTGCGAAGTTAGAGACAGTAATTACAAATAAAGGAGGCACCGTTAAGCAGAAGAAAAGAAAAAGATTATTAAATGAAATAAAAGAAATTATTTAATGAAATAAATGAGATTATGAAATGTAATATTATCCCTATTATTCTTACTACTTAGGAAGAAAAAAAGTACAGAAGACAATTTCCTTCATGTTTGCTGAATGATTTTTTAATCAAATGTAATGGTTATCCCACAAAAGTTTTACAAAATTTATTAATGTTCACAAAATTCATACAACTCATTAAAAATGTGTTTTCGTTAATAAAAAGGACAGCTAAAGAAACTAGCTGGACAAACACAGAAACTAGGCGATTAGGTACAGGGATGAGATATCACAGAATCACAGGGGTTGGAAGGGACCTCCAGAGATCATCGATCCAACCCCCCTGCCAAAGCAGGTTCCCTACAGTAGGTCGCACAGGTAGGCATCCAGGCAGGTCTTGAACATCTCCAAAGAAGGAGACTCCACCACCTCCCTGGGCAGCCTGTTCCAGTGCTCCGTCACCTCACTGTAAAGAAGTTCTTGCGCACATTTGTGCAGAACTTCCTATGCTGCAGTTTCCAGCCGTTTCCCCTTGTCCTGTCTCCACACACTGCTGAAAAAAGTTCGGCCTCGCCACTCTGCCCCCCACACCTTAGATATTTATAGACCTGGATCAGGTCCCCTCTCAGTCTCCTTTTCTCAAGGCTGAACAGACCCAGTTCACTCAGCCTTTCTTCATAGGGGAGATGCTCCAGGCCCTTCACCATCTTCGTGGCCCTCCGCTGGACTCTTTCCAAGAGATCCCTGTCTTTTTCATACTGGGGAGCCCAGAACTGGAGGCAGTACTCCAGATGAGGCCTCACCAGGGCAGAGTAGAGGGGGAGGATCACCTCCCTCAACCTGCTGGATACGCTCTTTTTAATGCACCCCAGGATGCCATTGGCCTTTTTGGCCACAAGGGCACACTGCTGGCTCATGGCCAACCTGTCGTCCACCAGAATACCCAGGTCCGTCTCTGCAGAGCTCCTTTCCAGCAGGTCATCCCCAGCCTGTACCGGTGCATGCAATTATTCCTCCCCAGATGCAAGACTCTACACTTGCTTTTGTTAAACCTCATCCAGTTTTTTTCTGCCCAGCTCTCCAGCCTTGCCTTGTCAAGTCCAGGTCTTGCTGAATGGCAGCACAGCCTTCAGGCGTGTCAGCCAATCCTCCCAACTTCGTATCATCAGCAAACTTGCTGAGGGTGGCCACTATCCCCTCATCAAGGTCATTGATGAAGATGTTGAACAAAACCGGATCCAGTACCAACCCTTGAGGAACACTGCTGGTTACAGGCCTCTAACCGGATTCTGCATCACCAATGACGACCCTCTGTGCTCTGCCAGTTCTTAACCCACCTCACTGTCCACTCATCTATCCCACATTACCTCAGCTTTGTTATAAGGATGTCATGGGAGACAGTATCAAATGCCTTGCTGAAATCAAGACTACATCCACTGCTCTCCCCCCAACCACCCAGCCAGTGACAACATTGTAGAAGGCTAAGAGGCTGGTCAAGCATGACCCATGCTGACTACTCCTGATGACCTCCTTCTCTTCCAGTTGTCTGGAGATGGCATCCAGCACAAGCTGTCCTTTCCAGGGACAGAGGTGAGGCTGACTGGCCTGTAATTACCTGGATCTTCCTTCTTGCCCTTTTTGAAGACCAGAGTGACATCGGCTATCCTCCAGTCTTCAGGCACTGCCCCCATTCTCCAAGACCTCTCAAAGATGACAGAGAGCAGTTCAGCAATCACCTCTGCCAGCTCCCTCAGCACCCATGGATGCATCCCATTGGGTCCCATAGATTTATGAACATTGGTGTTGCCTAGGTGCTCTCGGACTGTCTCTTTCCTGACTAAACGGAAGTCTTCCATTCCCTAGACCCTAGACTGACCTCCAGGGCGTGGGAAACCTAAGAGAACCTTTTCACTGAAGATGGAAGTAAAGAAAGCATTCAGTATCTCCACTTCCTCAGCATCCCCCGTTACCAGAACACCCCCCTCACTTAGTAGGGGAGCCACACTCTCCCTAGCCTTCCTTTTACTGTTAACATACTTAGAAAAGCCTTTTTTTATTATCCTTTATCACCTTTGCCAGATTCAATTCCAGGTGGGCTTTAGCCTTCCTCGTTGCATCCCTGCAGGCCCTGACAACATTTCTATATTCTTCCCAAGTGGTCAGACCCTTTTTCCACATCTCATGGACCTTCTTCTTCCCTTTTAGTTTGTGCATGAGCTCCTTGCTCATCCACACAGATCTCCTGCCACCCTTTCCTGATTTCTCGCTCATAGGGATGCACTGATCCTGAGCTTGGAAGAAGAGCTGTTTAAATGCTGTCCAGCTTTCAAAGGCCTCCTTATCTTCTAACACCCTAGCCCGCGGGATAGTTCCAAATATGTATAGCTCCTAAAGTACAGTGTAGCAATCCTACTTTTTGCTTTGCTTCTTCCACTCAAGATCTTGAACTCCACCCTCTCATGGTCACTACAACCCAAGCTGCCCCTGACCATTACTTCCTTGACAAGCCCTTCCTTATTAGTGAGAATAAGATCCAGCAACACCCTCCCCTCGTCAGTTCCTCCACTACCTACATCAGAAAGTTGTCTTCAACACATTGTAGGAACTGTCCGGACTGTGTGTGCCTGGCCGTATTGCTTCCAATATATTGCATCCAGCAAATATCTGGATAATTGAAGTCCCAACAAGCACCAGCGCCTGGGATCATGATGATACTTTCAGTTGCTTATGGAAGGCCTCATCAACCTCCTCCTCCTGATCAGGGGGCCTGTAGTACACACCCACAACAGTGTCATCCATACCAGCCCACCCCCTGATTCTCACCACAAGCTCTCCACTGCTACACCACTCTCCCCCAACTGGAGTTCAATACATTCTAGCTGCTCTCTCACACAAAGAGCAACTCCACCACCCTGCCTTGCCAGCCAATCTTTCCTAAAAAGCACATAGCCCTCCATGACAACATTCCAGTCACACAAGTCACATGTCCCACCATGTCTCTGTGACTGCAATGAGATCATAGCCATGTGACTGCACACAGATCTCCAACTCTTCCTGTTTATTTCCCATACAGTGCGCATTAGTTTACAGGCACTTTAGGGAAGCAGCATTCCCCTGGCCCCTCTCCATCCCTTTGAACTCCACCCTCATCACCCATCAAGCTCTGTTTTGAGCCTTGAACTACCCGCTCAACCCAGCGGCCCTCATTTCACCCCTGTCCCTGTCCCCCTTCTTACCTAGTTTAAACACTTTTCAGTTAGTCCCACCAGTTCCTGGGCTAGGATCCTTTTACCCCTTGCAGACAGGTGAGTTCCATCTGCAGCCATCATGCCAGGTGCTGAGTAAATTGCCCCATGGTCAAAAAAACCAAAATTCTTGTGTCTGCACCAACCTCTAAGCCATTTATTGATGAGGAGGGCTTTTTTTTATCCTCTCAGTATCCTTCCCTGCCACTGAAGGGATAGAAGAGAAAACCACTGCATGCCTGCTCCATCAAGTACCCTCCTCAGTCCCTTGAAGTCATTTTTGATAGCCCTCAGGCTTCTCTCAGCAGCATCATCACTGCCGACCTGAACTACCGATACGTGAGAGTAATCAGATGGGAGAATAAGACCAGAAAACTTTCTAGAGATATCCTTGACCCATGCCCTAGGGAGGCAGCACACTACCCTATGGGTGGGGTCAGGCCGACATATTGGGCCCTCAGTTCCTTGTAGAAGGGAGTCACCTATGACTATCACTCTCCTTTGTTTACTGGAGGAGGCAGTCTTCAAGCATGGAGCCGACCACCTCTCCTTAGAAAAGCTTGGAGGCCATTCCTCCAACCTGATTCTCAGCCACCTCACCCTCTAGTTTCAGGGCTTCAAACCTATTACATAGAGGCACCTGAGGAACCAAGGCATGTTGGGATGGACGCCGCCTGCGTCACTGAATTGGGACCTGCTGCCATTCCTCCTCTCTTCTCAAGTTGGCTCTCTCAGTTTGACCATGGCTGAATGCTGGCTATAAAAACTTTAAATATTTCAAACTAAATCCAAGCCAGCTGAACACACATGCATTTGGATACACAGTAATTTTTTTTTTCTTTTTTCTTTTTTTTTTTTCAAAGTACACTTCATTCTTTACAATTACAGTTTACTTACCAAAGACATAGACCTATCAGGCAGTCCACAGTTTGCACGTGTGCTCACTGGAGTGCTGGGCTGGCTGGAAGTACTGGTTGTATCGTTGGGTTCTTGACGTTCGGGGACAGGCTCATACAAGCTGTCCATTGAACCCTCCTAAAATAAATTGAAATAGTCTTATAAAGATGAATACTTGTAAATCCACTTAAAAACAAACAAAAACATTCATTTTGTGTGATTTGTAAAATGTAAAGACTGATTTTCCTCCATTATCTTTCAAAAAACTTAATTTCCTCTGTCTGTAAAAAACATATAATGCAATTGAAATTAATGTGATATATTATATAAAAACATTTATTCTATGTACTATAGTACAGAAGATAAATAGAGATACACATTCAAAACTAGGCTGCTGATACATAATGTATCAGCAAAGCTGGCCACACTCCTTTTAATGCACTCCGGAATCCCATTGGCCTTCTTGGCCACCAAGGCACAGCTGGCTCACGGTCAACCTGTCATCCACGAGGACCTCCAGGTCCTTCTGCACAGAGCTCCTCTCCAGCAGATCATGCCTCAACCTGTACTGCTACTTGTGGTTATTCTTTCCCAGGTGCAAGACTCTACTCTTGATTTTGTTAAACCCCATCTGATTTCTTACTGCCCAGCTCTGCAGCCTGTCCAGGTCTTGCTGAATGGCAGCACAGCCTTCTGGCATGACAGCCACTCCTCCCAGCTTTGTATTGTCAGTGTATTTGCTGAGGGTGAACACTATCCCCTCATCAAGGTTGACAGTGAAGACACTGAACAAGACTGCACCCAGCACCAACCCCTGGGGAGCACTTCTAGTCACAGGTCTCCAACCAGACTCTGCACTGCTGATCATTACACTCTGAACTTGGCCAGACAGTTCTCAATCCACTCATCTACTCATCTATCCCATGCTTTATCAGCTTTGTTAGGATGAATAAAAGATAAAGCACTTGATCCTGTAGCGAGGACTGCAATTCAGATGGCTTCAAGAACATCACTGATTTGGTGGGACTGCTTTCTAAATTTCTAAAATGTCAAATAAAAACACAGGAACCAATTAGAAGAACAGAGGAGTCATACATTTCCTGTTTATTCAAACAGCAAAATGTACTTTGTACTTTTTTCTAGTTGGACCTACAGAGCAGCTTCTGGGAGACCACTGACATGGCAGAGCATTGCCTGTGCACACAGCTACTCCCTTACAGAAGCTGTGCAATTGAAATAAAAGAGCATTTGCAAGAAATTGTGTCAGACTGAGAAGAGATTGCTATTTTCTTCTGTTAATGTTGTACAGAAAATGATTTCCACTCCCATCTGTAGAACCCAAGGGACACCATGGAGTCCAGAAGGGAGAGATTCAGGGGACCAAACAGGGAAGGGAAAGCAAGGTCTGGACAAGGAGCGATCCCCTTCAGGTACAGTTTTATTTGCTCCTTGACTCAAGTGAAAATACCCATGGCTCTGTGCAGGACCAGCAACAAGGGCAGGTCAGCAACGCCTGCTCTGGCTGCTGCACCAGATGGGCCATAAGCACTGCAGTGATGTCACCATGATGACACATGGGCACCATGGTGATTTTTGAGCCTCTCTCCCTGTAACCCCTTGACAGTTCTGTGGGATTTCACTTGCTAGCTGGCAGGACAAAGGGTAGTTCCCTGTAGTTCCCTGCAGAACTGGCTGCAAGCACAAACCACATACTAAGAACAGTAGACACTGAAAGGGAGCTGTCTGCAGTAGGAACTTCCGGTTCTGATCCAGAGGGTCTGGCTGCGTTCCCAGGCTCTCCTGATCTTCTGGGTCAGGATAGAGGAACAGCCTGGGCATCAAAAATGGATGAGAAGGATGCCCTAAGTTATCCTCATCAGGAGGAAATCAAATGTATAGCTCATGCTTCTTACAAGGAGAGCACATGCAGAGGCACTATTATCTCTGCAGCCCTCACTTTTCCTGAGAAACTCTGGGTACTGGTTGAAAGTCACCAATTTAAGAGCATTTGGTGGGGTCAGAATGGAAGCTGCATTGTAACTGACCAAGAAATGTTTCAGATCGAAGTACTGGGAAAGAAAGGCTCTTTTAGAGTGTTTGGGATGCATGAAAAACTTTATTCATCAGCTTAATGTGTACAGATTCACAAAAGCTCAGTGTGACTCCAAAAGATCTCCCTTGCTTCCTGAGTTTCTGGCAGAGGAAGAGGCATTTGTGGCTCACGGGAATGTACATCAGCTGCTCCACACACTAACCAACTCTCACAATATCTTCCTGGAAGAGATGGGGGAGGAGTGTCTAATAAAATAAGCCTTGGTAACAGAGGAGATGAGGATGACAGTAAACATTCTGATCCTAATTTCTTCCTCTGGCTATTTGCAGGAATTTTAGAAGTAGCATTGCTGACTACTAGAAATGTGGGAAAAATATATCTGGGTTTTATCCAGCGAGTCTGAGCCCATAGAACAGAAAGATAAATAAATGAGGGTATGAAGAGCATGTTACTTCAACATAGAGTCTGTTACTTCAGCATATCTTGCTTTAATCAGCCTAAGTTTAAAATGACAGACATTTTAATATTCATGTTTGTCTTTAGCAATTAAAAGATGAAGTTTCTGTATCTCGCTGTCTTTCAAATCACAGCTCTTCTCCTTTGTATTTTCAGTTACTTTGCTACTACAACCCATACTTCAGAAAAGATCACCCAGAGCTGCTGGAATTCTGCAAGCACAGAGTTGCCCAAAAGAGAAAAGCTGTGGCTGCACCCAACCCGCAGGAAGAGCTGAACGAGGGGCCTCCAAGGAGCAACCCAGATGCCCAGCCCATAGAGGGAACGGCTGCTGGGCCAGAGAAGAGCCTGCTGACAGCAGATCCACAAGCAGGCACACAGACAGTGCCATCCATGGGGCCTCCTCCAGCCAAGCAATTGAAGAAAGCTCCTACCCAAGCTCAAACAGGCAGTGCTGCAACTCCACCAGAGCCTGCTGCTGCACCAGAGAGGGAAGAGTGCCAGCCTCTGGCCCCCTCCCTGCTGCCACTTAGCAGCAGCCCCATCTTGGGTGCGGTTTCAACTCCTCCATCTTACAACACTCTGCCCTTCGAGGCACCCACTTTTACACCTGGCTCAGTGTGGCAGGCATTTGCCCAGCCCCCACAGGAATCTGAGCTGCTGGATCCTGGGGCTGCCCTGCATTATTTCAGCCAGTGTTTTGCCATGGCCATGTTGGCAGCAGCCAAGGTGACATCAGCTAACTATGAGGCCTGGGCAGTCCCACACTGCCCAACATGCACCTGCAGCTCCCACGAAGCAGCCCCGCCTTGCCCAACATGCACCTGTGGCTCTGACAGAGCAGATGCAGAAGAGCAGCACCCATTTATAGGTTTATAACTTCATACTTCACAGACAGGTATTTCTGGAAATAGGAGGTTAGAATAATAAAATAATAGAATAATAAAAATTCTGCTTGCCACGTCCTTTTCATTTACTCATTCAGGTGAAAGATCACGTTTTTATTTTGTCTTCAAAAAGAAATAGAAACAATTGTTCTCTAACATCAAATTAACAGTTTTCTGTAACAGTGAAGCTCTAGACCCTTAGCCATAGAGAATAAAAGATTGGATGATGCTTGCATGCTGCATGTACAGAGAATGCTCTTCTTATTGACTTCTGAGGGAAAATAGAGACTAACTAATAGAGACTGCTAATTAAACAGCAGCATTTTAATTACTGAAGACTCAGAAAGAGAATGCCACCTTCGTAGTACGACTGCTCACAAGATACTGCTCCACGCTGTCAGGCAACAATAACTCTTGGTTTAATTTCTGGGCTAACATTTACCAAGGGTCTGAGAAAACAAGTGCTTTGTGGAGGCCTTCTCTGGAAAATCAGAGAACACTTTTCAGAAGACCTGGGAAGATATTTGGCCTTTCTTGTTACAGAAAGGTTATAACGGATATAAATTTGGCAACTCTCTGATATTTTTAAATCTCACTTATTTAACAACCTAAACCCTATGTGTTGTACCAAGAAGGCAGTGCAAGAAATAACCAACCAAAGAAAGCATAAGGCAGCATTGCCACAGACTGACTGCTGCCCTAGATTGTGCACATCCACGTAGTGAGCAGGAAAGCTGAAAGCTGGCCAGGATTTTGGGGAGTTAGTTTTAGAGCAGATCATTTCTTTCATCAAGTACAACACTGAATCAGCACTGCCTTGGTGACCAAATGTTTGGCAAGAGAGAATTTGAGTGGAAGAGAAGTGAAATGCAGAGGTGAAACAAGAAGACAGATTTCTTAACCCTTCTTTGGATGCTCTACAGCAGTTTTACATCCTTCTTATATTTCAACTTGGACACAAATTATAAAACACCATACATGTGAATCAAGTCATTAAAATTATTTTAGCACAGCTTTTAAGAAAGAATTTATTACTATATTTTTGATAGATATGTGAAAATACAGTAAATGAGGCAGCTGTTGGAAGCATACAAAATGTATTAGCATCATCCAATACAGTCACTTTTATAGATCTGCTGATCACGTGAATAAACAGATGTGGAGGGGAAAAAAAGAGTTCTGATGATTTCATTAGAAAAGGGCATATTTTTCTCTCCGGCAATCTCAGTATAAGAAGGTAACTGCACTGAATGAAACTTACTTTGTTTTCAAAGTAGTTTCAAGTCTTAAATGTATCAACATCTAGAAAAATATTTCACTGCTTTTACCTGCACTGTTATACTCACTGAAAATACCAATGTCTTGTGGTCAGTGAAAATGGCATTACCTATAATTCTCAAATGTTCTGGCATACATCCTCAATGAAAGTACTGCTTCCAAAATATATTGAACATTTGCATTTCAGATCTAATATCAAGGAAACGAACAATATGGGATTCCAATCTCTGCACAAAACAACCAATATTGTAAAGCATTAACCTTATATATGCACACTATATAATTTCCAAATCTTTAAAAGTTACTTAGATATTCACAAATGTCTTTTAGATAACACATGTACTATTTTCCTTAAATTATAGACTTACACATTACTTCAGAAAGAAATTCTACCATACAAAAAAAGTATGTCAGTTTGGATACATATTTAAGTCATGGCATCTTCAGCCAAGCTTTGGGTTCTT